TGGAAGGCACACTCTGTATTTGCCACATTGGGAATGTGTGTGAAATGGGCCAACCTGAGAGGTCTGTTACCCTATCTTTATGTGAGTGGCTTATTACAAGAATGGAGCATTTCCTCCACAGTGAGGCTGCAAAGAGTAGGCGGAGGTCTCCCTCTTGGCTTTGTCACACATGGCCATCACTGTTCCCCAAAGGGGATGTTTCAGAAGCTGGTGCCTTTTGCTGTCTCTCCCTCTATACATCGTGATCTGTCACTGTGCCTTAAGCTGCCGGGGGAGTTTCAATATTTAACTTGAAACCCTGCTAGTAAACTGGAAGCTGCTTCCCTTCAGTTCCTGAAGGAACAAATAAATAAAAAGGAGCTGGGAACAATGTCAGGAAAAGCTTTTCTTTCCAGGCTACTGATTTTAGTGTGGCAGAGCCCAGTCTCAGCTTTTATTTACAAAGTCTTTCTTAAGATGGGCTTCCTCCTTTGGAATTTGTTTTCTGTTGCTTTTTCTGACTACAGCTGTTAATACACATGATGCATAAAGAACCTGGCATCCATTGTATATAACAAGCCTACATGAGAAAATGCTTCACTCATTGGCAGAGCCACGAAAGCTACTTTTTCAAATGTGACTACATGCAGTTAAAATGTTTACCTTTTTAGAATGCAACTCTCAGAATCCCTCAATTAGCATGATCACAGTTATGCTGGTTTAGAGATTCTGGATGTTGTAGTCCAAAGATAACTTTTCAGAGTTCTGGTTACACTTACAGTTGTAAGACTGGTTAGTGTTGTGATTATAATTTTCAAAGTAGTTCTTTCCCAACTCATTCAAAATGTGGTGCTGGAGAAGAGTACTTAGGATACCATGGCCAGCTAAGAAGACAAACAAATGGGTTCTTGAACAGATCAGACCAGAGCTCTCCTTAGAAGCTATGATCAAATTGAAACTATCCTAGTTTAGCCACATAATGAGAAGGGCATGGATCACTAGAGAAAACAATAATGCTAGAAAAGGCAGAGGGTAGAAGAAAGAGAGGAAGACCACAGACCAGATGGATAGACTCAGTCAGGGGAGTTATGGGCAAGGGCTTGCAGGATCTGAGCAAGGCAGTGGGAGATAGGGATTCTTAGAGATGTCTCATCCACAGGGTTGCCATGAGATGGAGTCCACTCGAGGGCAGCTAACAACAAATCACATTTCACCCGTTCACATAGTTTCAAGCAGTGTCACATCACCATAATAAAGATCAGGACAAATGGAAAGAAAAGTTACTGTAGTTGATTTCCAGTGATGCTAAATGGAGATCAACAGTGCGATGCAGCAGCTAAAAAGGCCAATGCAATTTTGGGCTGCATCAGTAGAAGTATAGAGTCTAGATCAAGAGAAGTCATAGTGCCACTCTATTCTGCTTTGGTCCGGCCTCACCTGGAATACTGTGTCCAGTTCTGGGCACCACAATTCAAAAGGGATGTGGAGAAACTGGAGCGTGTCCAAAGGAGGGCAACTAAAATGGTGAAGGGTCTGGAAACCAAGCCCTATGAGGAACGACTTAGGGAGCTGGGGATGTTTAGCCTGGAGAAGAGAAGGCTGAGAGGTGATATGATAGCCGTGTTTAAATATTTGAAGGGATGTCACATCAAGGAGGGAACAAGCTTGTTTTCTGCTGCTCCAGAGACTAGGACCCGAAACAATGGATGCAAGCTGCAAGAAAAGAGATTCCACCTCAACATTAGGAGGAACTTCCTGACAGTAAGGGCGGTTCGACAGTGGAACACACTCCCTCGGAGAGTAGTGGAGTCTCCTTCCTTGGAGGTCTTTAAGCAGAGGCTGGATGGCCATCTGTCAGGGATGCTTTGATTGGGAATTCCTGCATGGCAGGGGGTTGGACTGGATGGCCCTTGTGGTCTCTTCCAACTCTATGATTCTATGATTCTATGATTCTATGATCTGAATTTCTAAAAGAAAGTTTTGAATTTGGATCTGAGTCAACTCAGGCAGCCACCAAATTGGATGGAGCTGAGTCAGCCCTTTTTTCGGAATTGGTAAATCAGGATTTACCAATTTTCCTTACATGTAGAAAGCTAGCAATTCAAGAAGAAGACTCACCTAGATCCCTCAGATTAACACATTCATTTTCTTTTTCTTTTTTTATAAACTTTATTCATATATTAAAAACAAATAACAATAACAAAACAAAACAGACATTTCACATATACATTGACACTTGTACAACAAACATCACCCATGACCCAATTGCCTCCCAACAAATAGCAAAATAACATAACAAAAAAAGGATTAACTTCCTGAGCTTTGACACAAGTACTCTGTTCACATATTCTATTTTCATCTTAGACACTATAACTAATTTAGCATTAAACTTCCTGCCATTTTCTTATCCCTTCTGGGACTTCCCTAATGGAAAAAGATATCTTTAAACATTTTTCCTTCTTTATTCTTTTTAAATTCTCTTTCTTCTTCTTTTTTTAAAAAATCACCTATATCACTTAATGAACTGCGACCTTGCTAAAAGCACAAAAATAAATTTAATCCATTAACGTGTAACCAAGATCTCATATTCACTATTTTTCAAATAATTATTTGAAAGCTCCTAGATTTTCTTCTGTCTATTCCAGTTTCCCCCTCTCAAATATACAGTCAATTTATCTGCTGAAACACAGTCCACCAATTTATATATCCAGTCTTTTACACTAGGACAATCGTTACATTTCCATTTGGCTGCATAAACCATTCTGGTGGTCGTGGTTATATAGAATATCAGCTTACCATAATCTTTTTCAAGGTCACAGTTATCTGTCATCCCCAGCAGGTAAAATTTAGAATCCATTCTTCCTTTTAATGGAATTATTTGAGTGACCCTCTTGTGTACACTTTTCCAATATTGAGTTGCAACTTTACAGTTCCACCAAAGGTGCCCTCCTCTTCATGGCATTTTCAACACATCTTATTTACTCCCTTACACATTTTCGCCAACTTCACAGGGGTCAAATACTACCGGTGCTGCATCTTATGAAAGTTCTCCCTTAAATCATAACTTAGAGAGTATTTAATTCTGTGTGTCCAGCATTTCTCCCACTGTTCAAGCGGTATCTCCTGTTTTAAATCAGTAGCCCCATTTCACCATGTTAGTTTTGATTGTTTCGTCCTCCTGTTCTAACCTTAATAAAAACTCATAGAATTGAGAAATCTTAGCTTGTTTTCCTTTTTCAATAATCTTCTCAAAATCATTCTCAGCTTTTCCTATGCCTTTAGTGTTTCTGTCATTTATGAATCTTTCCCTACGTTGTCTATGTAGAAACCAGCTACACTTATAACCTTTGTTTAATAATTCATCTTGCGTTTTAAAGTCTATTTTACCAGTCTCCATTTCAATGCTAATTAACTCCTTATATGTTATCCAACTGTGTACATCAAGCCTCTCTATTCTAAAAAAAGCTTCGTTCGTCAATGTCCATAGTGGAATGTTTCTACATAATGTATCTTTGTATTTATTCCATACATACATTAGGGCTTTCCTTACAAAATGATTTTCAAAATCTCTAAAGACCTTGACTTTATCATAAAATAGATACCCATGAAACCTGTATCTTAAATCTGTCCCTTCCAATAGCAATACCTCCGTATTTTTTAAGAGAAACCAATCCATCAACCAGGTAAAGCAACAGGCTTGGTAATAGATTTTTAAATTTGGTACAGCCATCCCTCCTCTTTCTACCTTATCTTGGATAACTTTAATCCTAACTCTAAGCTTTGTCCCATTCCATAGAAATTTGGAAAGGTCCCGATGCCAATTTTTAAATGGGATATCATTTCTAATAATAGGGATATTCTGGAATAAAAAAGTATCCTAGGAAGGACACTCATTTAATTTTAACACACTCATGCATGGATTTCTTATTTATATGAAAAACATATGCAAGTTCTTGCTAGAACCCTGAAGTGCTATAGCCCAGGTTCACCATCTCTGTGAAATCCAGGACCTGTACAGAATCTTAGAGATAAATGTTGGCCCAAGTAAACTCCAGTCATGTTCCACAATCTCTCTTTAGCCTCCAAGTCTGAATTAATTCCTGTTCTTCATGCTACAGGCTTTAAAGAAATGTGAGGGACAAAGAGTGATTCTTGCCAAAAGGACTAAACCCATTTCAAACCTTAAAATACAAGTCCTGTGAATTCTACCCCACCCCCTGCACTTCCTTCTGTTCCTTCATCTCTGGACTACTAGCCCACTGGCCTTCCTCCCTCACTGAGATTTCTTAAGTTCTTATGTTCTTATAATGGAGTTAGCTATTATTAGACAGTGAGTTGTCTCATCATAGCAATTGCCCATTGAGGTTAGATTAATCCAATTTCTTGTGGCTGCATGCAGAAAGAGTGAATCCAGCCTTCATTTTACTTCAGGGAGATCCATATGCTTCCCAGTGCTTTGGGAAACTGGAGTGGTGTGTTTAATGTCTTAATTCCATGTGCCACTTGGGTGGAGACTACAGACCACTATTGTTCAAACTGCCTTGAGAGGCCCTTCCTGAGAAGCTCAGTTATCACCTCACATCACAGTTTCCTGACCAGAAGTTGTAAGACTTTGTCAGGAAATGTTTCAGAATATCTGGTGTTATGAAGAACAAATAGTTTCATAGCCTATAAATAGTTTTAATAGTTTCCAAGGCTCCTTGAAAGCTTGATGCCCTCTTCAAATGAAACAAATTGTGTATCATAATATAAATATTGATGGATTCTACATTGGTGGGAAAATGGTGGGAGGTGGAATTTTTTTGTTGTTGTTCTTGTCCATTGCATTGATCTCTTTCAGTTTCTATGAGTACATATGCTTTCTGAGTGTTTAAATGAGGCACAGCAATAGTTTTTCAAGCATTTTTACTTGAAGCACTTAATAATTCTGCATCATCATAGTCATGGAAAAGCTCTTCCGTGCCTAACATGGTATCTCTATAAGTCACTAGAAGATTCCAAAGGATATTCTAAAACAGAAAGCCAGCATGATGTAGTTGTTTAGCATTGGACTATGACTCTGGAGATCAGGGTTCAATTCCCTAAGTAGGCCACTGAAACCTACTGAGTGACCTTGACCAAGTCGCACACTCTGAACCCCAGAAAACCCTGTGATAGATTCACTTTAGGTTCACCATAAGTCAGAAATGACTTGGAGGCACACAACAGCAATAAATCCTAGAACAGGAATGGACACTTTTGCTGAGGATGAGGACAAACTTTTTGTTCTCAGCAATTGCTACAAATATATCAGATCAAGAAATGGCAAAGGTCTGGGGTGGGAGAGAGAAAAGAAAAATAAAGAAAATTAAAGAAGAAGAAAAATCAAACTTAGATCTCTCTACATAGTGATGCGGGAGGTTGTGTTTTTGTTTTGTTTTTTAAGGGGAGGACTGTTTCTCCACAGGGAGAATCTACATACCCTAAAGGCACCAGGATCTTTTCAAAAACAGTATCCTGAGGGAGACTGACCTTCAGACTAAATGGTTTCTAATTATGTATTATGCATCCCATCTGATCTTGGAAACTAAGCAGGATCGGCCTTGATTATTACTTGGATGAGGGACCACCAATGACTATCAGGTGTTGTAGGCTATATTTCAGAAGAAGGAAATATGGCTTTCTGTTTTAGAATATCCTTTGGAATCTTCTAATGACTTATAGAGATACCATGTTAGGCACAGAAGAGCTTTTCCATGACTATGATGATGCAGAATGATGGCAAAAACAACCACTGAGTATTCCTTGCCAAAGAAAACCATATGAAATTCATGGTATCACTGTCAGTTGACAGGCAGCTGGAAAGTGCATATATTTTTGTCTCCAAAAACAGATAAAATAAATTAGGGTGATGGGGGACATCCAAGGGGTTCCACTGGGGCCTGGGAATTGAGAAAATGGCTTTGGGATACATCTGGTTTACAGTTATACTTTGTCCACTACTGTTTTGTAGAGTCCCTTTTGGAGAGTTTTGGAAAGCCCCATGTGGCTTTCCTGTTTCTGCATGTGAACTGAGACAGTGACTCAAGTTCACACCCTGTGTTCTTCCTGTACCATTGACTTGCAGTGATAGCAGAAGGGGTGGGCAATATTTCTTTATCTTTGCTAATATTTAGTCTAGGCTGCATCAATAGAAGTACAGTGTCTAGATCAAGGGAAGTACAGTTGCCCCTCCCAATCCGTGGGGGATCAGTTCCAGACCCTCCCCCCCACAAAAATGGTGGCTCGCAAATATTCGAGCCCCATTTAAACTAATGGCATGTACAGGCACATGTAGCCGTTTAAACTATAGCCCTTGTCCTTCCACGCAAAGAGCGAGACCGCAGACTCAAAGTCCACGAATGGGGATGGACAACTCTAATTGTGCCACTCCATTCTGCTTTGGTTAGGCCTCACCTGGAATACTGTGTCTAGTTCTGGGCACCACAGTTCAAAAAGGATGATGACAAGCTGGAGCATGTCCAGAGGAGGGCAACCAAAATGGTGAAGGGTTTGGAAACCATTCCCTATGAGGAGAGACTTATGGAGCTGGGTATGTCTAGCCTGGAGAAGAAATGGTTTAGAGATTATATGATAGACCTGTATAAGTTTTTGAAAGGGTGTCATATTGAGGATGGAGCAAGCTTGTTTTCTGCCTCTCCAGAGAATAGGACCTGGAACAATGGATACAAGCTACAGGAAACTAAATTCCATCTAAACATTAGGAGAAACTTCCTGACAGTAAGAGCTGTTTGGCAGTGGAACATGACAGTGGAACAGACTCCATCGGAGAGTGGTGGGGTCTCCTCCTTTGGAGGTTTTTAAGGCTGGATGGTGCTTTGATTATGATGTGGAGAAACTGGATGTGGAGAAACTGGAGCATGTCCAAAGGAG